CACTTCTTGAGATGTCTTTGCATTCAAACGACTCGACCATAAAAACAACCATAAGATTACACAAACTTCTTATAATCTAATAATAATAATTAAAAAACAACATTTCGAGAGAGAGAGAGAGAGATTAATGTATTTAATGGAGGGAATTAATTATATTAATGTAATATATAGTGTATATAAAAATATATTTCTTGGTAGCAATTTTTAACAGTCTTATAAAAAACAACATTTACTTTAGGAACCAAAAGCTGAGCGACAGTTCAGTTCCCATAATAACTCAATTATAATTGTATTAAATTTGGGAAACAATTTTCGCTCGTGTAGTCCATACGTGCGAATCAACACAAGTCTTCACATTTTCTGAGAGAGAGAGAGAGAGAGAGAGAGAGAGAGAGTCTAAGAGAGACGGAAAAAGAGAAATAGCAGTAATATTAATAAATAGCTTTTCACTCATATATAAAGTAAATTAAAGTAAAAAAATATTAGTTATATTTTTTGGACAAACAATTTATTTTTTCTTTAGGTTTTGAAAGCGCTTTACTATTAATAGCTATAAATATAGAGAATTAATAAAAGTATTTTCTGTGAAAATTATTGTATTTTTCCTTATTTTCTCTCATATGTTGTGTTTTTTTTAATCGGACATTAGTTTAGTATTAATGGTTGTCGTCCTCTGACGAGTGAGAGAGAGAGAGAGAGAGAGAGAGAGAGTCTGGAAGAGAGAGATACCCAGGGTATTGGAAACTTGTTTTCCAATAAAATATTTTTTATCACGTCTTTTATTATTTAATAGCGAAGCGAAAGTTTTTATTTTCTGTCAAAAGAGAAAAACAACAAAAATAAGTTTTAAATAAAAGTCACAAAAATAAAAATTAATTGTATTTTTCCTTATTTTCTCTCATATGTTGTGTTTTTTTTAATCGGACATTAGTTTAGTATTAATGGTTGTCGTCCTCTGACGAGTGAGAGAGAGAGAGAGAGAGAGAGAGAGAGAGAGAGAAATTAATGGCAATTATATGATAGATAACTGTTGGAAATGTGCTTTTAAATTGTCTTTAAAACATAATAATTTAGATTTTTATATAATAAACGTGATAAATATATATCAAACCATGTCTTAGAAATGGCAATAAAATTAACATTATATTAAAACTTATTACTTTATATACAGTGTATATAACTATTTTGAATGTGTTGTTAATATCATTGGTTATAATTTGTGATACAATTTCTAAAAAGAAACAAAATATAATGAGAAATAAATTTTATTCCGAAACAAAACAAAATAAAAACTGATTTAAATATTTATTGCCCTAAAATAATAACACCTATGCCAAAAATGTGAACGATTTTTAAACTAGTTAAACTGCTCGAGGTGTGTATGCATTTTGTGTGCAGCATGTGTGTCAGGTCGGATATTTATTACCATGTATTATATAATCTTACAAAAAACTTTTGACCATTTTTAGGCAATTTTGAAACTAATCTTAAAAAACTAAATTCAATAAAAAATAGTCTTATTTTTTGTTAAGCAAAAATATTTTTAGTGATTATTTTGTGAATTAATATCATGAGCATTTTTCATCGCCACCAATACCCTCCCGGCCCCTCCACTCTGTATATACTGTATATGTCTACCACTTCTTTTAGCTAACCATCAATTTATTACATATGAAGTGTTGATAATCAGTGATGTGTTTGGCATATAATGGTATGAATTTGATGCCAGACTTCTAAGAGAAAATGAAAGAGAGAGAGAGAGAGAGAGAGAGAGAGAGAGTTTATATAATATACCTGTATATTATACACTATAGAATGCATACAATACACAGTGTATATTATATAAAACTTTCAACGCACACATACAAAAAGCAAGATGATAAAAAAAACTGCTATTCACATCGCATAACACATTATAACAGCTATAATACAATCATAAATGCAGTGAAAAATATATCTCAAAAACTCTCAGCGAATACTATAATATATATCTGAAAAACTTTATATAAAATTTAGTTTTATGTGTGAAATAAGTGGTAATTTTTTGATGGGAGGGTATGTGAAGGGATGGATGGATAGGTTTGGGCGCACTGTCTATTTCGCACACATCACTCAAACTCATATACATATTGTATATAACATGTGGGTATAAAACGGCAAAATTTTGAATGGAATTGAAACTTATATTATATCAAAATATTGCATATTATAGTAGAGCTAATCTAGAAAATACACCTAGGGCAGTTTGCATATCTATTGTAGTGTCGATTTAATCTATCTATCCGACACCCGCCCCCTCCGGGCCGAGCCCTTTCCAAAACATAACAGTGTATTTTATTAATCAACATATCCTTAATATACATGTATGAACAAGAAATATCTAGATAAAACAATTGCTATTGTAGTTTGTATGTAAAGTAAAATACTCATTTAGGAGTGTTTACCATAACAAAACGTCTCTCTCTCTCTCTCTCTCTCTCACTCTCTCTCTCTAAATCTGTGAAAACATTCTCAGTTAATAAAAGCCTAGTAAAAATAGGGAAATAATAATTTATATAACAATTTCTGTTTCAGTCAAAAAAATATTTTGATTGATGTCTTATAATTGTGTATATTTGAGCACATCCTATGCCCTCCCCTTCCCAGACACCCGTTCCCCCACTCCTTCAACAATAGCCATATGCTATACGGCATAGGATTCAGCAAATAATATATACAATGTATATAATAATAGCATTTCTTACTTTGAAAACTCTTTTTGTTAATTATATTATTTAACATAAGAAACGGATTTTTAGTTTTTCCTTTTTTTTTGTTGTTAAATGCATTGTTTTTTATGTGTTTAATACGGAAACCAATGTAAGAATACTATTGTATATGATTTATATGTATGTATATCTAGGGGTAGGAAATTAGTGTCATTTTTCCCTATAATATATCATTGTTTTTCACACCATTGGTGTGAAGACTCGTTACGATTGAATGACTGCTGAGAGAGAGAGAGAGAGAGAGAGAGAGAGAGTTGTGTAAAAATCGCAAACATATAGAGGGAACCCCCCGTTGGGAACGGGAGAGAACAACACATACCGACGTCAGCCCCACATAACTGGCTGTAAACCTGCCTTTAAGAGACACGCGAACGAATAATTTACAATAACTCGACTCCGGCTATGTCTCAAAGGAGGAGCTATGAGTTCGTGTAGTGAACGGCCAAAACCAGGTATTAAACTCAGTAAAGTCAGCGATCAGGTACTCAGTTAGTCATACGCTCCTGTCCTGCAAACATCGTCCGCAATATTTCGTTGCGATTCTTGCTTTCAGTCTTCATGTAATGCAAGCAAATACTACTACAACTAATATACAACCTGTTGGAGACAACTGCCCGCATCTCTATCCTTAAAAACATAATTCATTCAACAGTCCTTTAATTCTGTTGAGTTCTTTTGCCTTCAGTTATAGTGTTTTAAAAGTAAAAGTTATCTTTACATGAAAGTCAACTAAAGTTGTTTCACTTATTGTTTGTTTTATATATAAAACAAAGTTTCAAAGTATTTAAAAAACTTAATAAAGTCTTATCAAAGTTATCATCAAAGCTACAAATAATGTCGTTTTCATCGATCAAATTGGAGCCCTCTATGCATCTAATGTCGAGCAACACGTCTTGCAGTGCTCTCAACACATCCCAAACTAGTGCTAAATTACAGCCTCTTTTAGCCAAGAAGTCGAGTCCCTCGTCAGCGATGAGCGGACAAATGTCTCCGACAGCCTCTTCCATGAGCTCATCAATGGGTTCACCGGAATTGCTTCGCTGTAAACGGAGAATAAACTTCGGAGGATTGGGTTATGCCATCCCTCAGACACAACCGGCAACTGTCGCGCGAAGGAATGAACGCGAGAGGAATCGCGTGAAGATGGTTAACATGGGTTTCGCTACTCTCAGACAACACGTGCCAAATGGTATCAAAAACAAGAAGATGAGTAAAGTAGAGACTCTGCGCTCGGCTGTCGACTATATCCGAGAATTGAGAGAACTTTTGGGCGAACACGACCATGATGATTTCACATCCAACGATACGTGAGTAGCTCTCAAACTTTTTTGAGAGTAAAATAAACGTTTTTGTCATTTAATTTTCTTAACTAAATGTAAACTTAAATCTTTCAGTCATTGTATCGACAATTTACAAGTGCTCTCAAGTGACGAGAACTGGAACCCGAGTCCTTCCGTTTTATCCACGTCTGCAACTCTATCCTCTCCGACATCAATGACCTATACTTGCAATTCAAGCGCTATTTCATCAAATGCTTTGAGAAAAATCCCGAACTCTCCCTCATCTCCACATATGACAACTTCTCCCTCACCGAGTATGGGATCCGATGCCTCCTCTCCTTACGACTCGTTAGATAGCATTGAGAGACAGGTCTCGCCTGAAGAAGAAGAACTTTTTGATTTCACGAATTGGTTTTCTTAATGAGGTATTGAAACATTCATTTACTTAATATATGTATTGATAAGTTATTAAGTTTAGTTTTTTACATTTAATTAAATTTTTTAAACAAAAATTATGATAACATAAGACTAAAGAGACTGTGAGTTAAATATAAGTAAAATTGAGAGCAAATAGTTGTGAAATGTGAAGAACTAATGAGCGGAAACAGACTGACCTTCAAGTGTATAGAAGTCCTGTCGGAGTTGTTTTAAGACGATCGGCACACATATACTTTACATATGATAGCATTGAGTTAATGGTTAGATAATAAACTAAAGATATGTGATTATAGTATCTGTTGATAATCTAAACCTCTATATGCTGTGCCATTTGAGTGCCGGAAAACACTTTTTCCGGCACTCAATGAAAATGATTTTATTTCATTCCACAAAATATAATAAAGCAATTCGTGGAGCGTTTGATTCGTATACTATGTTATGATCAGGAAATTTATGAATACTTTTTATTTATTATTGACTAAAAATATCAGAGAATGGATTTTTTTGTGACAATTCAAGAATTAGAGAGGATCTCTACCGGTCCTACAATTCAAACAATAGTGTATATGAAGTGTATATAACATGAGAGGATTTCAGAGTGAATGTCAGATTAGTTATGTTAGCGCTTAGATTGGGATTCCTATTGAAGCGTCAACTGATAGAATCTGTACTTTTATTAGAGACACATATAATTCCTGTAATGCAATGCAATGCGAGCGCACGCGAGCTCAAGAAGAAGCCCAATATCTGATTGTAATGTAGAGTCTGTGCTGTTGAGCGCATACAGTGCTCACAAATACTATTGAATAAGTATAGGAGTACACACTGTATGCTGTATTGTGTAGAAAACTCTTTTGAAAAACACAGAATAAGAGGGGGCTCTGGACTCTCTGGGGCTCTTTTTTCTTCTCTCTCTCTCTCTCTCTATTTTTTGAACATTTGATCGCATGTTATGGAGTGAGTATTGAGTAAAGAAGGAATGGAGGAATGGGTGGGAATTGGACTTAAATAAGACGAGAAAAAGGAAATCTTTAGCTGAGTTTCTATTCAACGAAAAATAGTGAAGCACGAGATGTAACCAAAATATAACTGATATACAGATTAGATATACTGTACGGAGAGATAGGAGGGGAGAGAGAGAGAGAGAGAGAGAGAATGCTATAATACAAACATTGAATCCTATGATAAATGACAGTGTTTTCAAGATCAAGGATAGGGTTTCTCAATATATACACCAAAAAAACTTTTACATTCAATATAAATACAATCGTACGATAAACTTAAAGAAACAAATTTAGAGAGAGAGAGAGAGAGAGAGAGAGAGAGAGAGAGAGAATAATCAAGTTATTTTTGGGAAAAGCATTCAAATCATTTATATTTAATTCAATTTGAAAATTGCGGATACGATTAAAGAGAGAGAGAGAGAGAGAGAGAGAGAGAGAGAGACGTGAAGAGAGACGCAAAGATATAAAGATACAGTTAAGCACTGATTAAAACTAAATATTTTAGTATTTCTTCACTTCAAATGAAAACATAAAATATTGAACAGAAAAAATAACAAAATTTCAAGAATTTTCACATCCAATGCTATACATGTGTTGTGTATATAAACTCATTGGAAATACACTACTATTTTAGGACTAAAACATGTTTTTACAGATTTTTCTTATTCTTCTTCAGTACTCTTCTCAACCACTTCTTGAGATGTCTTTGCATTCAAACGACTCGACCATAAAAACAACCATAAGATTACACAAACTTCTTATAATCTAATAATAATTAAAAAACAACATTTTGAGAGAGAGAGAGAGAGAGAGAGAGACTTAACGAAAAGGTCTAAAATCTAATAAAACATTTTCGCCTCAATTCCGGTAAAAAAACTAAAGTAAAAATCTTTTACACAAATAAAACAAAACTATGTAATTATTTTTAATCGCCCATGAATACTATTATTTGTAGGTACCATATTTAGTTTAACTACATGGTTATTTTTACGTATCCATTGTATTAGATAAATAAAAATGTTTATTTATATCAACAAATTAGTTATTAACATAAGTTGGGATTAGTTTTAGTTCAATAATATAAATGCTAAATAATATATTGAAATTCAAAAATAAATTGTTTGTAGATTATAACGAGAGTTCATTATATTTTGTTTTTTGTATACAAAATAATGAATACAATATCAATACAGATTTCATTTGAGAAAACGCCCAATAATTTCAATACAATATTGAATATCTAAATAATGTTAACACAAATAAAATACTAGAACCACCAAGGTCTATTGAATAACTACTGGATATTATTCTACTGTTATTATATTAATGGCATTTTTGTTTTTATACCGTATTGTCTTAGTTTAGGGCACCGGGAGGTGTAGTATACATGTGCTAACATCCAGGAACTCCACAGTCACACAGCATTCCCACCCAAAGACACACCAAACAGACTGTGAAAATGTGTTTTCAATCAAATGGTGTATTGAATTTTTACCGACACTTGTTTTGTTTCACGTATGGAAACATTATTTGCCTGTAATTGTTAGCTATAAATACTTATTACAGTAAAACAATAGGTTATATAATGTACGCCAATATATAATTACAGTATTGCATTAGATGGTGTGCATGTGAATAGTGTACACCCGGTCTCTCTCTCTCTCTCTCTCTCTCTCTCTCTCTCTCGAAATGTATCTAAACTATTCATACACTAAATGCCATTAAAATTAATGAATAATAACAATTTACAACAATTAGCTCTCTCTCTCTCTCTCTCTCTCTCTGCCGGTAATTGGTTTAAAAAACTTTTGGATATTTTTTGTTTTAAGCAATCAATACGGTATAAAATAGCTATGATTTTTTGCATAACATGTTTGAACGTAACTTTAAAGCAATAAAAACGGGTTAAAAAATGTTTTCATATATACCGTATGTTTGGTTTAATTGAATACGTGGTGACTATAACTACAAATCATTGACTATAATGAGTGTGACTGACACTACCGTTGTATCCGTATGTCAGAGCTCTGGCACATCAAGAGTTGCCATTCAACTGATAATAGATATTATGGAAACAAAACGAGTGGTAAATATCATAAACCTGAGAGAGAGAGAGAGAGCTAATTGTTGTAAATTGTTATTATTCATTAATTTTAATGGCATTTAGTGTATGAATAGTTT